CTCCTGCCCCTGCAGTCCCTCACTCACTCCCTCCTGCCCCGCCAGTCGCTCACTCACTCCCTCCTCCTTCTGCCTCTCCCAGTCTCTCACTCACTCCCTCCTCCTTCTGCCTCTCCCAGTCTCTCACTCACTCCCTCCTCCTGCCCCCCAATCTCTCACTCACTCCCTCCTCCTCCTGTCCCACCAGTCTCTCACTCACTCCCTCCCTACCACCACCTCCCGTTCCTTTGCCTCTTGCACCTTCAGTGCTGATTCCTCCAATGACAGTGCATCCCCTTTCGCCCTCCTTTCCGACTCTCGCACCCTCTCCTCCTCCAACTCCTCTCCCCTCCTCGCCCGCTCGTCCGCCACTCGCAACGCTTCGTCCCTCTCCTCCCTAAATTCCTCTGCCTCCCTCGCCCGCTCCTCCGCCGATTGCAACGCCTCGTCCCTCTCGTCCCTAAACTCCTTTGCCTCCCTTGCCGCCTCCTCCATTGATTGCAATGCCTTATTCCTCTCGTCCCTAAACTCCTCTGCCTCCCTTGCCGCGTCCTCCATCTTTTGCAATGCCTTATCCAATTCGTCCCTAAACTCCTCTGCTTCCCTTGCCCGCTGCTCCGCCGACCACAATGCCCCATCCCTCTGCTCCTCCAACTCCTCTCCCCTCCTTGCCCGCTCGTCCGCCAATTGCAATGCCTCGTCCCTTTATAATCCTCTTTACTTCCTCCCCTTGCTCTGCCACTCCCTCTGGTGTTATCTCCGCTACCACCACCTCTTCTTTCTTTGCCTCCTGCACCTTCGTCACTGCTTCCTCCAGTTGAGAAGCATACTCTTCTGCCTCTAGCCACCTCTCCTCCAACTCCACTACTCTCCTCACCAGCTCACCCTTTTGTCGCCGTTCCTCGTCTCTCGCGTCCATCGCCCTTTTTACCTCCTCGTCTTGACCAAGGTCAAGATTAATGTTGGAAGAAGCATTCTGAGCACCAAATGAAAGATAATGTAGAAGATGCCTAGGACACATACCTACACTCGTGTCGCAATCGCATTGCATCACAATCCACCACATTTCACCTAGCAATTAAGGATTCTCACCACACTGCACTGCTTGATTGAGACGCGAGGCTAGGAATGTACCATAAACAGATCTATCATCACTGAAGATCAAAGACCACTTGCAGGGCCTGACTGGGAGAACATCTAAGCTGTGATTCAGTTACCGTAATCGAAGTCCGGAAGCCGACTAGACTTCCTCTTTCTTTTTGTTGTTCTGGCGGCAGCAACCTCCTGTGTTGCAGGTTGCAGTGCTACATCACTGTCTTCATCCTCAGAATCCTCTATTTCGACCACGGATGAGCTCAGTGCGGGACGGCCAAACGCTGCTGCTCCCTGCTGCTCTTGAGGCGCACCCCTCAGTTGGCCATCTAGATGCTGTTGGGCGCCCAGACGCTGCTGCTCCCTGCTGCTCTTGAGGCGCTTGAAGGAAGGCACAGAGCTGACCTCATCATCATCCTGAAGTGAGTTCACTTCAGGACGGGCTGCACCTGAACGGCTGGAACTTATAGAAATTGGTGCCTGAATGTTGTTGTTGTCGCTGCTGCTGCTGATTTCGTGGGGCCTTAATAGTGAGCTCACTTCAGCAAGGGCAGCACCTGACAGGCTGGAACCAAGACGGATATGTGCCTGACTGTCGTTGTTCCTGCTTTCAAAGCGCCTCACAAGTGCGCTCACTTCAGCAACGGCGTCACCTAACAGGCTGGAACCCAAAGAAACGTGTGCCTGACTGTTGTTGTTGTTGTTGTTGCCACTGCTGCTGCTGCTGCTGCTGCCACCATGCTCTGAATCATGCCCCTCTGTAACAGGTGGATTTGCTACCTGCATCAGTGAAAGCAGAGGCAGCACGTTAGTTGTCATGACAGAGGAAGAGACGGCACAGAGTCTCTAAGGCAGATACGCATTTCCACAGCAACACCATTCTCACCTGCACTCTCTCCTACAGCTTCACCTCTCCTCACACCCACAGCCAGGAACCTCCGAAGCACCAGCAGCACTCACCTCCTCACCATTGTCAATCTTCCCTATGTCTCTCATGCATCATGCATCTGTCTCTCATGCATCATGCATCTGTCTCTCATGCATCATGCATCTGTCTCTCATGCATCATGCATCTGTCTCTCATGCATCGCTCCTCCAAGCACACACAACTCAGAGCGGCCTACCTCCCAACAACACTCACCTTCAGTCACAGCTGCAGCCTCACCTCCTCACCATTGTCGATCTTTCCTATGTGTATCGTGTATCTCATGCATCGTGCATCTACCTCTCGTGCGTCTCCTCTGCCACTCTCTTTCTGCATCGTTACAACAGCATCGCTCCTCTTAGCACAAGCATACCCAGAGCGGCCTACCTCCCAACAACACTAACCTCCAGTTGCTGCTGTCGACTCGCCTCCTCATCACAGTCGATCCGACCCGCCTGCCGCACCTCCACCTGCCTCACCTCCGCCTGCCCCACCTCCGCCTGCCGCACCTCCACCTCTGCCACTCTCCTTCTGCAACCACCCAGGCTTTGCGCCACTATCCACAAACACAGTTGGTGACCTGCCTCCACAACAAATTTCACCCCCCCACCTTGCTGCGGCCTTGCCTCCTCATCACCGCTAATCTGCATCACCTGCCCCACCTCCGCCTGCCTTACCTCCACCTGCCCCACCCCCCCCTGCCCCACCTCCCCCTGCCCCACCTCCCCCTGCCCCACCTCCCCCTGCCCCACCTCCCCCTGCCCCACCCCCCTCTGCCCCACCCCCCCCCTGCCCCACCTCCCCCTGCCCCACCTCCCCCTGCCCCACCTCCCCCTGCCCCACCTCCCCCTGCCCCACCTCTGCCTGCCCCACCCCCGCCCGCCTGCGGCCTCCGCCTCTGCCTGCAGTCACTTCACCCCCAACCCCGTTTGCCCCACCTGCTGCCCCTCTTCCTTCGCCCGCTGCTCCTCTAGATTCACCTCCATTTTCTGCGCTGCTGCTGCGAGCTCTTCTTGCTGCTCTCACAGAGCACCTTTGTCGACCTGCAAACGGGAAGGCAGGGGAGGAGGGGAAGGCAGGAAGGGGTGGGAAAAGGCGAGGGAGGTGGGGTAAGAAGCCTACTCAAACACTAGGAGTAATTCTGGTCTATTTGGCAGAAGGAGTGATACATGGAGCCTCCTGATTTTCTAGAATTCTCAAAAAACACGTTCAGTATCTCAACGGACACAAGAGTCCACCTGGCTAGCTGCCTGTCATCTTCTCGAAGGTCAGTGCACGGTGACTATTGAGTTGAATTGAGACATGTTCCAGCAAGCAGCAGCGTAGGAGAAAGTTCAGCAAAGGAACGACAGTTCTAGTTGGGACGTTACGAACGTTGCCTCTCTCGTCGTATTTTGCGCTGCTCTTTCCAGTACTCTTGCAGCTGCTTCACTCGTTTCAACAGCTCCTCTGGCAACTTCTCCTCCTCCACCCTGCACCGGCGCAAATGTGCCTCGATCTGAGCCGTACGCAACAGATTCCTCCACTTGTCCTGATGAGTGCCAGGGGGATTTTCAAACGGGAAGGGATTAAAACGACACACAAGCGCGGAAAAGCGACACATCAAATGAATGAGCTCCGAGGTAGTCATATGCACAGACAGACCACTTTCTCACAATACCATCCGCTTTCCTGAGGACATCAAAGGAGCTGCGAGGTGATAGTCACATACGATCTGATGCGGCACCTCATGCGTTCTGAGGCGCCTCAAGGGGCACCTCAAGAGGCGCCACAAAAGCACGTCAAAAGAGATGCGAGGTGATAGTCGCATAGAATCTGATGAGGCACCTTAGGAGTGCTAAGGCTCCTCTAGAGGCTCCACAAAAGCATGTCAAGCCATTCACGTGCTTGAGCTCTTGGTGGCAAGAGAGCACCAAGGACCCAAGAGAACAAATATAAATGTTGAGAGAAGAAAAGAGAAGATGAGAAGACAAGAAGATGGAAAGAGAGAACGATCCTTACTTTGAGGTCCCCATCTGTCCGGTACATTGAATTGGCAAACGCCCTCCGCTGCACTTCTTTCCATCTAAAATACACAGGGAGGGGCAGAAAATGGTTGGAGTCCGAATGGTTGGAGTCCGAATGAGGGGAGAATTTATTTCAATCCGAGATTTCGAGCAGCCAAAGTGTGCAGCATTCTCTTGTCTTGCCTCTTTCTTCCTCCTACTCTGCTCCATCTGATGCAGCTTTTCTTTCCCACTCCAACAACTATTCCTACTCTCCCACCAGCACCACCCCCGCAGGCACTGCAACTCCTCCTCGCCCACTGTGAGCAAGTGCCGCCTCACACACCCTCACTCTCACTCTCACGGTATCACCTTCATCCTCAGTCCCACGGTATCTCCCTCACCCTCACTCTCACAGTATCACCTTTACCCCCATTCTGCACCTGCATAGCAGCAACCAGCATACCACCACCACCACCACCACACCCCAGGCACTGCGAATGGCAGCTTCCTCACCACCCTCACCACCCTCACCACCCTCACCCTCACCCTCACCCTCACCCTCACCCTCACCCACCTGCCAGTACCAATTTTTTCCACAGCAGCCATCAGCGACGCTACCTCGTCCACGGTGAACGGCCGCCGCTCCCTCCTCCCCCCTTGCTCCCTCAGCTGCAGCCGCGTCCCTCCCCCTCCCCTTGGTCTCTGGCGCACTATCAGCTGGCTCCCCATATCTTCCTCCTCCTCTTGCCCCCCTAGTCTCTCACTTCCCCCTTCCTCCTCCTCCTGCCTCCTTGGTCTCTCACTCCCTCCCTCCTCCTCTTCCTGCATCCCTTGTCCGTCATTCACTCCCTCCTCTTCCTGCCCTTCCAGTCTTTCACCCACTACCTCCTCCTCCTCTTCCTGCATCCCTTGTTCGTCATTCATTCCCTCCTCTTCCTGCCCTCCCAGTCTTTCACCCATTACCTCCTCCTCCTGGCCCCCCAGTCTTTCACCCACTCCCTCCTCCTGCCCTGCCAAACTCTCTATCACTCTCTCCTCCTGCCCCACAAGTCTCTCACTCACTAGTTCTCCTGCCATCACCTCCCCTTCTTGCACCTCTGGCACCCTCCTTGCTGCTTCCTCCAGTGATAGTCCATCCTTTTTCGCCCTCCTCTTTGCCTCTCGCACCATCACCTCCTCCAACTCCTCTCCCCTCCTCGGGCGCTTCTCCACCATTCTCAACTCCTCACCCCTCTGCTCCTCCAACTCTTCACCCCTCTGCTCCTCCAACTCCTCACCCCTCTGCTCCTCCTCCTCCTCCTCCTCCTCCTCCTCCTCCTCCTCCTCCTCCTCCTCCTCCTCCTCATTCTTCTCCTCCTCCTCCTCATCCTTCTCCTCCTCCTCCTCCATTATAGTCGTCAGACTTCCCACCACCCCTTCTGTCCGACCCATCCTCTCCCTCTCCCACCTCCTTCCCATTTGCGCCTTCACCTTCGTCCCTACACCACCAGCAGCAACAGGATCAGCAGTAGGAGTAGCAGTCGCGGCAACAGCAGCAGCAGCAGCGAGCTGCTCCCTTAGCGACATTTCGCACTTCCCTCATCAGCTCTCGCTCTTCCCTCTTCATCTCTCGCAACCTGCGCTGCCACCCATCCAGCAACTGCTCGAGTTCCCCCGTGCTCAGCAGTGCCAGCTGCCCTCGGACCCAGGCAGCACCATTCGAGACTCCAGCATCAACAGTAGCAGTATTGCCAGCATCAGCAGTAGTAGTAGTGCCAGCATCAGCAGTACTAGTAATGCCGGCATCAGCAGTAGTAGTGGTCCCAGCATCAGCAGTGGCGCTGGGTAGGTTGGTAATGGCAGGAATGCAAGGTATGGCAGGTGTGGTGGGGCAGGAGTGAGGGAGGGAGTAGGGAGGCGGGCAGGAAGAGGAGGGGATGCGCAGATGGGCTTTACAGGTGCAGAGCTCACAAAAGAAGCAAAGCTGGTCCTGTGGGGATGGGGGATGAGGGGGGGTGGAGAGGGGAAGCACAGTTGGAGGAAGGGGAGAGGAAGGGGGAAGCACCGTTGGTGAGAGGGAGGAGAACATGCAAAGCAGGGGAGGGGTAGGAGGGAAGAAGGGAAAATGAGGCAAGGATGATGGAATGGGTGGGCAGGTCGGAAGCAGCGCAGTACCTCGATCCTGGTGATCTCTGCCTGCTGGCCGCTCTGCTGGCCCTCTGCAGCCTCATTTACCACCTTCTTGTTTTGCCCTCGAAGCTTCACTTCTTGCTCCTGAAGCTTCACTTCTTGCTCTTGAAGCTTCACTTCTTGCTCCTGAATCTTCACTTCCTGCTCCTGAAGCTTCACTTCTTGCTCCTGAAGCTTCACTTCCTGCTCCTGAAGCTTCACTCCCTGCTCTTGAATCTTCCCTTCCTTCCCCTGCATCTCTTGTTTTGCCTCTTCCGCCGCCCGCTCTGCCTCACGCCTCCTCTCCTCTTCTGTGATCATCCTCCCTCCAAGCTCCTGAAGCTACTCTTCCTGCTCTTGAATCTTCCCTTCCTTCCCCTGCATCTCTTGTTTTGCCTCTTCCGTCGCCCGCTCTGCCTCACGCCTCCCCCCCTCCGCTGTGACCAGCATCCCTCTAAGCTCCTGAAGCTGCTCTTCCTGCTCTTGAATCTTCCCTTCCTTCCCCTGCATCTCTTGTTTTGCCTCTTCCGTCGCCCGCTCTGCCTCACGACTCCTCCCCTCCGCTGTGACTAGCATCCCTCTAAGCTCCTGAAGCTGCTCTTCCTGCTCTTGAATCTTCCCTTCCTTCCCCTGCATCTCTTGTTTTGCCTCTTCCGTCGCCCGCTCTGCCTCACGACTCCTCCCCTCCGCTGTGACCAGCATCCCTCTAAGCTCCTGAAGCTGCTCTTCCTGCTCTTGAATCTTCCCTTCCTTCCCCTGCATCTCTTGTTTTGCCTCTTCCGTCGCCCGCTCTGCCTCACGCCTCCTCCCCTCCGCTGTGACCAGCATCCCTCTAAGCTCCTGAAGCTGCTCTTCCTGCTCTTGAATCTTCCCTTCCTTCCCCTGCATCTCTTGTTTTGCCTCTTCCGTCGCCCGCTCTGCCTCGCGCCTCCTCCCCTCCGCTGTGACCAGCATCCCTCTAAGCTCCTGAAGCTGCTCTTCCTGCTCTTGAATCTTCCCTTCCTTCCCCTGCATCTCTTGTTTTGTCTCTTCCGCCGCCCGCTCTGCCTCACGCCTCCTCCCCTCCACTGTGACCAGCATCCCTCTAAGCTCCTGAAACTGCTCTTCCTGCTCTTGAATCTTCCCTTCCTTCCCCTGCATCTCTTGTTTTGTCTCTTCCGCCGCCCGCCCTGCCTCACGCCCCCTCCCCTCCGCTGTGACCAGCATCCCTCTAAGCTCCTGAAGCTGCTCTTCCTGCTCCTTAATCTTCCCTTCCTGCTCTTGAATCTTCCCTTCTTTCCCCTGCATCTCTTTTTTCGCATCTTCCGCCGCCCGCTCTGCCTCACGCCGCCTCCTCTCCTCCGTAACCAGCCTCCCTTGTAGCTCCATCACCTCCTGTTCAAGAGGATTCAGGCTGGCATTGAGGGTGCTGTTACCCGCTTCAGCGTCCTGCTTGGAAAGGACAACGGAATGGAGGTCGGAGGGGAGGAAGAATGAGGAGGCGGCAAAGCAGGGCTGCAGGAAGGAAGGGAAGCAGGGCAGCAGGAAGGCAGGGCAGCAGGGCAGTAGGGAGGCAGGGAAGCAGGGCAGAATGGCAGAAGGACAGCAGGGCAGCAGGGCAGCAGGGCAGCAGGGCAGCATGGCAGCAGGGCAGCAGGGCAGCAGGGCAGCAGGGCAGCAGGGCAGCAGGGCAGCATGGCAGCATGGCAGCAGGGCAGCATGGCAGCAGGGCAGCAGGGCAGCATGGCAGCATGGCAGCAGGGCAGCATGGCAGCAGGGCAGCATGGCAGCATGGCAGCAAGGCAGGAGGGGCATCACACCTTGAGCCTGGAGATCTCTGCTTGCTGGTCGTCCTGCTGGCTCTCTACAGCCTCATTCACAACTGCCGTGTTGCGCACCTCCTTCACCCCCTTTGCGAAGTCGAGCGTGTTGGTGCAACCCTACGGTTTGCACTCGGCTTGTTGTCCGTGTGCGTGAATGTGTGTGTGTATGGAATGGTATGAGGGCATGGGATAATATATATTTCATGCTTATAATTGTGTGTGAATGTTGAGTCATGATGTCGAGTGTGTGTGTCGAGTCAATAGCGAGTTATCGCTAGACGCGTGTTACGCGGTCGTTTGTGTCTCGCGCGCGGTTTCTATTTTGTCGTGCGCGGTTTCTATTTTGTCCTGTGTCGAACGTTCGGCGTGTCGCAGGTGTGTGCAGCAGACCCATCAAGAACTCAAGGATGAGTTTGTGATGAAGAGCCCGAGCCTTGGTGTCAAGCCTCAAGTGATTTCGAAGCTTGCCAAAAGGGTACACCTCAAGATATTGAAGATAGTTACATTACTTTGTGTAGTGTAACATTTCACTTGGTGTAGGCCCTAGTGAAGGGTAGTTTCGAGACCCTTCGTGGTTGGGGACAGTGTGGCACTGTTCCACATCACTGTACCTCGGCTCTTGGGGTTTGTAGGAGCTGGGAGTCATTCCCAAATCGTAACTCTTCCTATCTTGTGTTCTAAGACTATAGTGGCTGCCATAGTACCGTTCGTTCAAACCGACGCTGTGTCGTCAATTCTTTATCAAATCGTGCAATCTAAATTGCTAATTGTAGACGACGTGAAGACGCTCCAGATCCAATTTGAATCAGGTCATTTGCAGCTGTGAGCAGAACGCTATCAACGTTTGAAGCCGCTGTGCAGAAATCCGTCTGTGCTCTCTATCTTTCGTTTTAGGCACATTCAAGCCTATTGTGACTATAACAAGTGGTATCAGAGCCCCTTGGAGCAGTTTCGACAATGTCTGGACCTGACGAAAGGGGTGGCAGAGGTGCTGGTGGCAGTGGAGAAGCTCAAGCTCAAGGCCAACCCCGTGATTCAGCCATGGCGCCCATGCAACCAAGTCTTGGCCCACCTAGGGATGAGCCTAGGGTGTTTGGGCTTGACAAGTTCAACGGTGACAACTTTGCTGAATGGTCCTTCAAGATGGAGAACATCTTTGACCACTATGACCTGCTGGAGGTGATGGAAGGAACGGAGAAGCGCCCCGAGAACGACCCGGAGAAGAGCCCATGGGTGCGGAAGAGCGCACAAGGCTATCTCTTACTTGGGCAAGCGTTGGGGAGCAGTCAGATCCGCCACATCAAGCCATTCCAGCGTGAACCAGAGAAAGGACCAAAGGCATGGGCTGCTCTCAAGGGTGTACATGCTCCTGCAACAGCGGCGGTAGCGGTGGTGTTGGAATGGCAAATGGCGGCACTACGAATTGAAGAAGACGAAGCGGTTGAAGAAGGGGTGCAGAAATTCTTCGACTTGTTGACGCGGCTTGAGGGAGCTGATTTGAACTACAGTGAGCTCCAAAAGAAGACCAAGTTGCTGGCCTTACTCCCAGAGTCATGGTCCTCGCTCATCATCAACCTTAATCGCGACTTGCCCCGCCTCTCGCTTGAAGACGTGAAGCGAGCTATCCTTCAAGAGGATTTCCGCCGCCGTGAGTTGGCGAGTGCGGATGGCGCTGGGGCAGCGAGCATCGGCCGTGGATATGGTCGAGGAAGAGGCAGAGGACGAGGGGGAGGAAGGTTTGGTGGCAGCAACTTCGGCGGAGGCCGCAGGAGTGGCGGTTACGGCAGCGACGACAAGAGCTACGGACGCGGTCGCGGCCGATTCGACGGCGAGTGTCACTATTGCCACAAGAGCGGACACATGTGGCGCGACTGCTACAAACTCCCTGATGGTTGGACCCCTGCTCAAGGCCAAGAGGGTAGAGGAGCAGGAGGAGGGAGAGGACGAGGCCGTGGAGGCCGTGGCGGTCGCGGTGGCGGAGCTGCAAACATGAAGAGCGGAGAGAACGACAAGGACCCGAGCGACGATCGATACCCGGGTCTATTCTACTTCGTGTCGACGCAAGTACCCGGCTGGTCCAGAGAAGGATGAAGGCTTTGAGGAGCCAGCAGCTGTGGGGAAGGTGACCCTACACCCCCTGGACTATTGGGTGATTGATAGTGGCGCTACCTATAGCATGACACCTCGCCCGGACTTGCTCACCGAACTCGAGCCGTCACCGGTGAAGCATGTCACATCGGCTTTGGGGCAGCGAGCAGAGGTGAAAGGCATGGGCAAGGCCATGTTCAAGGGTGCTGATGGGAAGATGGTGGGCCTCAAGAACGTGCTTTGGGTGCCCAGCCTTGCTGCAAACCTGATTTCCGTGCGGCGGTTGGCAAAGGCCGGCATGGACACGAACTCGAAGGGAGCCAAGACCTACACCGCAAGGCTTGGCGATCGAATTCTTTGGGACCTTCATGAGGACAGGGATGTCTACAACGAGATGTGGCAGATCCCAGTGGTCCCTATGCCTAAGGAGAGGCAAGTGGCAGCAAGCATCAGCACCAAGGATGGAGCGGTCGGTAGCGACGATGGCGCGAACGGTCGCGCTAAGGAGAATGAGCTCAAGAAGAGCAAACCTGGAGGGACCAGCAAGTTCAGTGAACCTAAGGAGAGTGGTGCAGCAACCAAGGAGCAGCAAAAGGGTGAGGAGAACCCAGAGGCAGCAGCGGAGGAGGACTACGGAGAGAGTATGTGGGGCGCTATTGCGAGCGCGGCATTCTCCAATCCAACTTCGGCTACGGGGGAGTGTGATTGGCTCACCTTGCATCGGCGCATGGGGCATGTGGCCCTGCCCATCTTGCAGCAGCTAGTGAAGAATGAGATGGTTGCTGGCATACGTGTGAAGGGGGAGCCCGATGAGGTGCTTGGCTGCCCGACGTGCATTCAAGCCAAGTTCACCCGGTTTCCGTTCCCTAGTTCGGAGGCAACGGCAAAGGCACCGCTTGATGAGGTGGTGATGGACGTGGTGGGCCCCCTGAAGCTTGGAGCTGCTGGAGCTGAGTATTTTCTCACCATTGTCGACGTCTACACCCGCATGACTTGGGTGTACGTGCTGGCCAAGAAGAGCGACGTGGCTGAAACGTTGAAGACGGATTGGTTCCCGATGGTGGAGCGGCAACAAGACCGTCTAGTCAAGTCAATCCGCACCGATCGAGGGGGAGAGTTCCTGAGCAAGGAGTTTGGGTTGTGGCTGAAGAAGAATGGTATTCGGCACTCCCTCACCATGCCATACTCCCCTGCAATGAACGGCATCGCCGAGCGAGCGAACCGCACAATCACGGAGGCGGCACGCGGGTTGCTCATTGAAGCCGGGCTACCCGACTATTTCTGGCCTGATGCGGTGCGGAGCGCGTGTGTGGCCAAGAACAGAGCCTTGACTCATGTGGGAGCAGACAAATGGGTGCCCTATGTGGAGTGGCTAGGAAGGAAGCCAAAGGTGGATATGCTTCGGGTGTTCGGGTGCATGTGCATGGCGCTCGTGCCTAAGCATCTTCGGCACAACAAGCTTGGTGCCAAGGCGGTGTGGGCCGTGCACTTGGGCATGGCTCAAAACAGCAAGGGATGGCTTCTTTGGGACCCATTCACCAAGAAGTTCTTGGTGAGCAGGGACTGCAAGTTCATGGAGAACTTCATGTACAAGGATTGGAAGGCGGAGAATGAGGCGAAGATAGGCGTGCGGTTTGGGGAGGTGAAGAGTTCCGGTTTGGAGCATGTGGAGCTGCCTTTGGAGCTGAGCAGAGGCAGCACAACCACAAGGCAATCCTCCCTTGTGAATGGGGGAGAGGAGGCCAATGATGCAGAGGAAGAAGAGGAGGAGGTGCAGCAAGTGAGCGAGCGTGCACCGTCACTCCCTTCCCGTACTACGAGTGCTCCACGGATTCGAGCCACACCGCAGCAACGCCAAGGCCTTCAAGTCCCTGCAGCTGAGGAGGAAGGAAGGGGGAAGAGGAGAGTTCAACCCCCTAATAGGCTGACCTATGATGCGCCGGGAAAGCAGGGCAAGACAGCCCTGGCCGGAGCGGCAATGATGGTCGGAGACGACGAGGAGAGTGACTACGAGGAGTGTGCCTTCGCGTTCTTCTCTCCGGTGGAGATGCCGGGAGAACCAGCAACTCTCAAGGAGTGGAAGAAGGCCATGGAGAGTGAGCTGAAGAGCATCGAGGAGAATGACACGTTTGAATTGGTGGAGCTACCGGAGGGGCGTACGGCGATAACGTCCAAGTGGCTCTTCAAAATCAAGTCGGATGCCGACGGCAAGATCGAGCGCTACAAGTCTAGGCTTGTAGCCAAGGGGTACCAGCAGAAGGAGAAGGTGGACTTCAAGGAGCTGTTTGCCCCTGTGGTGAAGCCGACGACGCTGCGAACCCTATTCGCGGGAGCCGCCATCAAAGGATGGGTAGTAAAGCAAATGGACATCGTAACGGCATTCCTTAACGGCATCCTTGAGGAGGAGATTTTTATGGCGCAGCCAGAGGGGTTTGATGATGGTAGTGGCAGAGTGTGGAAGCTGAAGAAGGCCCTCTA